GGGGGGGGGAACAACTTATCGCCCACTATTAATTAGATCACTATCAATCAGCATAGTTAAGGGATGATTAGCATTCCCATTCTAGTGAACACTTTTATGTTTTTACTGATGTAAACCTCAGGCCAAAACAGCAACAACAATTTTGTCATTGGAATTATGGACTCAGTTCCGGCCACATTAACTTCTTTGGCAGCTCATGGGCTGTTTGGGAGGCTGCATCCTATGCTGAGAGAGAATACTGACACACAGTTTCCTTGTTGATATTGCCTAAGTTCCCTTCCCAAACAGTGGCAAGGCTTCTGAGATCCAGGATGGACTGTCCACTTATATATAGAGAGAGAAACCCAAACTGAAAATCTGACTTTTTTTATCTGAAAATAGATGTTTTCATATAATTCAATTTTGCATAAAGGTTTTTGTTCCAATGCGGAATGAAAACAAATTTCAAAACATTGAGTTGTTGCAAAGCAGAATTGTTGGTTTTCTGTCGCCTCTAATCAAAATATTTGTTTAGACCTTATTCAAATATTTCAATTCAACTTTATCTTTTAGATGCAATGTAACAGTATAATGTAAACACTGAAAGATTTAAAATGAAATTTTAAAGTCTCAGAATTTCTCCTTGGATGGGAATTCTGTTTTTCCTTAGCTTTGCCTCCAAAGTTCTGGGGAGGCTGAAATCTGGAGTTTTGTTTCATGCGCAACTCTAGACTTCATCCAACTCTCCCAGATCCCATTTTAAAGCAAGAGTTGATAGAGTAGCCATCTTTCTCTCCATAGTGAGATTACCTCAACCCACTGGTACACTAGAAAGTGGAAGACTGAACCCAGGAGAAGGAGTTGCAGATGATGAGAGGGAAAATCACTTAGAGGTTGCTCCACAGTTCCTACCTGTGCAGTGTTTATTCATTAATATTTAGTGGATATAGTGCATAATTAACTGTTGCAGTGTCTTAAGTCCTCTATTTATTGAAAGCAGAGGAAGCAGCAGCTCTGGTTTCCCTGGTTCCTTGAACCCAAACCTGGAAAGACCCCTCTATAGATGAGAGGATAACTTAATTGGCTTAACCCATTCAATAATTAGCAATTTCAGTTAGAAAAGACAACAAGAGCATCAATTAATGCCAGCTTTGGTGGTGGGTTTGGACTATGTCCCATGTCTGTGAGGAAATTGACGGAGTCCACCAACTAATTTCTCAAAGACCACTAAACAGCAATCCAAAGGTATCTATTTTTCATGACTACTGGCTTGAGCAGGACTAGAACTGGCAGCCTAGAAGAAGAGAGGCTGTAAGTCCCATTGCGAAGCTTGATGGTTTGCCAAGATGTCTCAGAATCTGTGAAGTTTGGCCTTTTAAGAAAAATTCACAGATATTCAAAACAAGTCATCACAGTATTCGTCTAATACAGAGTCTACAAAAGCACTGAGTGACAGAAACATTTACAGTGTATAGGCCATCAGAAGAGTGGCTTTTTAAGACCAATATATAGCTGTCTCAATTATCAAGAAGGTTTCTTACTCATCTTATCTGATCTGAAGTGCCTGCCATCTGCATGCATTTTGCTGTTTTGAAATAAAAAGAAAGGTGATAGTTAACAAGCCCTTGTTTATGATGGTTTAAAGCTATTTTGATCAATATAGAATGTAAATGATGAACCATTTTCAAGCTAATTTGTCACCTCTTGGCCTAGGGCAAACAGCATTAAGAGTTCAGGAGCTTTTCCAAGGGGATTTAGAAAGGCTCATTTCCGATGGTTCTATTCCTGGGGTGAAATCCATGCTCCATTTAAATCAGTTGGAGCTTTGGTACTGACAGTGGTGCCAGGATTTCACCCTTAGTGAACAGCTCTCTGCAACTGTAGTTTCATTTTAACTCCCATTAAATTCTTTGTGCCTGTTTCTCTTCAGAGAAATGTAAACTTCAGACACTGAGTTCTTACTGAAAGAACATCTGTCCATATTAACATTAGCTAGTCAGCAATAGCTATTGGGATGTAGGGTCTTACAGATCTAGCCAGTGCAATTTTAAACTAAACACAGCTGGAGAAAAGTAAAAGGATCTCTCATGTGTTCGTAATGCTATCATTTCACAGTTGACTTATCTAAGCCTGTCCTTAGAAAATTTAAGAAAAATGAAACATTTGTCAGCTTCTGGATGTATTCAGAAGGTTGAGAGCATCAGTTTAATCTACATTTTTCCTAAATCCACTTTTGGCCAAAGTTGGTACCTAACTCAGTGGTGCCACTTAATAATGGGAAAAACTAAAACTGACTTTGGAGAATCATATTGAATTAATTACATATGGTGCCTAATTCCTTTCCTGCTCTGAAACTCTTGCATATATTGTACACTTTAAAAATATGTTTTAATGAATCATACACAAAGATACTTTTAATATTTTAGTAAAAACTGATTTAAAAAAACAGTTTAAGACACAATATTAAAAAGAAAGGAAAATTCAGTGAGTAAATCTTTGTCTTTCAGGGCAGAGTAATAAATATTGAAGTGCTAGTACTCTAGCCTGTAAACCTGAAAATCTGTCTTTTAATAGCAGACCATAAGGTCATAGTATGATTGGAATAACCACTCCAAGTTTTCCTTAAAAACCTTTGATGCCTTTCTTCTTTTAAGAAGTCTCAACCGGTTAGGGGGGAAAAAATCAACTGAAATTTGGTTAAACAAAACACAGAGTTGTTAGCATATGGGTTTCTCAGTGTAAAATATTATCACAAAGAAAGACAAAGTATGTGTCTCTTTTAGTCTGGGATTTATAACTCAGCTATCATATAACTTTTTACAGTGGTGATGGCTGCTAATGCTGATCTTTCCCACTGAAATTTAAATTGTAATTTGTATGGCCCGCCAAACTGCTTATGAGAGTGTTCTGAAAACAAATGTTAAAAACGTAGAGCACAACAAAACCTACATAAAGGACTCCATCTTCAGATCTTCAAAAACTTCAAAAACAGACTCCAACGAGAGACTGCTGAGCTAGAATTGATATGCAAACTAGACACAATCAACTCCGGTTTGAATAAGGACTGGGAATGGCTGAGCCATTACAAACATTGAATCTATCTCCCCTTGTAAGTATTCTCACACTTCTTCTCAAACTGTCTGTACTGGGCTAGCTTGATTATCACTTCAAAAGTTTTTTTTCCCTTACTTAATTAGCCTCTCAGAGTTGGTAAGACAACTCCCACCTGTTTATGTTCTCTGTATGTGTGTATATATAATCTCCTTAATATTTATTCCACTCTGTATGCATCCGAAGAAGTGGGCTGTAGCCCACGAAAGCTTATGCTCTAATAAATTTGTTAGTCTCTAAGGTGCCACAAGTACTCCTGTTCTTTTTGCGGATACAGACTAATATGGCTGCTACTCTGAAATCTGTTGGGTTGGGCAGTTATTGTTGCACAAGGGAGTGCTCTATATCCCAGCCTGCCCCATGCGCTACCACCCCACTTCCTGCAGCACAGCGCTCCCAAGCACCATGCTGGGGTATTGGGGCAGCATGGGCAAGGTGCCCCCTACTGAGCCCCCATCCTGCTTCCTGCAGCATAGTGCCCCCTAGCACTGTAATGGGGCATTGCAGCTTTGCAGGGCTCTAGGGGGTACTGTGCTGCAGGGAGCAGGGCAGAGGGCTCAGTAGCGGGCGGTTTCTCCTCAGAATGAGCACTGACTTCACAGCCACCTCGGGGTGCTAAAGGGAGCTGTGCTGGAGTCATCAGAGACCGTCTGGTGATTGCTGTGGAAGTGGAGGGGCATTAAGTTCGATCCAGTGTCCTGGTGAAAGTCTGTTTTCTTTGTGGTCAGCAGCAGGAGGAGAAAATACAGAAAACACAATTCTTGTTATCATTATTAATTCACAAAGCTCCACAAAGTGCCAATAGGTAACTAAGGCCATACCCTCAAAGGTACTTAGGTGCCTAATTGAAACCAATTGGAATTAGGCACCTCCATGCCTCTGAGGAGATGGGCCTAAATCTGTCTGCATTTCCCATCTTAAATTGCTGTGTAGCCACTTCCCACATGGTGTCACTGTTGTCCAGTTGCCCCACCCCAGAGCTGGCTGTATTATAGCTTTGGGTGAGCCATCCCCATGTGGTGTTCTGTGGGGATGTTACCCAGCTGCCCCACCCCAGAGCTAGCTGCATCTCGGCTTCAGGTAAGCCATCCACATGTGGTGTTGCTGTGTGGCTGTTAACCAGCTTCCCAACCCCAGAGCATCCCAGTACTGAGTGAGCCAACCCTGTGCGGCATTGCTGCACAGCTCTTACCTGGTTGCCCCACCCCAGAGCTGGCTATACCCCAGCAGGTGCGTGAAGCTTTTAAGGCCAAGACATTAAACCGCAGAACAACAGCAAATTGGCAAGCCACCCAGAGAGGCCCTTGAGTCACTTCTCTGCTCTCACCCACCTGCCCCACAGCCGCCTCATGGCTCCCTTCATCTCCGTGTTCCTCAGGGTGTAGATCAGTGGGTTGAGCATGGGCGTCACCACTGTGGCCAGCAGCGACACCACTTTGTCAGCTGGGATGGTGGAGAAGGGCCGAGTGTAGATGAAGATGCAGGGTCCGAAGAAGATGGCCACCACCATCAGATGGGCCGTGCAGGTGGACAGGGCCTTGAGCCGGCCCTCAGTGGAACGGCGCCGCAGGGCAGCCAGGATGACCCCGTAGGAAACCAGCAGCACCAGGAAGCAGCCCAGGGAGATGGCCCCGGTGTTGGACACCACCAGGATCTCCACCAGGGACGTGTCAGTGCAGGCCACGCCCAGCAGCGGGGCCACATCACAGAAATAGTGGTCGATGTGGTTGGGGCCGCAATAGGGCAAGGTGGTGGCCAGTAGGGTCTGTACCAAAGAGTGGGCCAGGGCCCCCATCCAGGAGCCGGCCACCAGCCGGGCGCAGGTGCGGCAGCTCATGATGGCCGTGTAGTGCAGGGGCTGGCAGATGGCCACATAGCGGTCGTAGGCCATGGCGGTGAGGAGAAAGATCTCAGTGCAGCCCAAGAAGTGCAAGAAGAAGAGCTGAGCCAGACACTCGCCCAAGGAGATGGTGGCATGGCCAGAGAGCAGCCCCAGGGCCATCTGGGGGGTGGTGACCGAGGTGTAGCACAGGTCCACCAGGGAGAGGTTGCCCAGGAGGTAGTACATGGGGGAGGCAGCCAGGCGCGGCTCAGCACGGATGGTCAGGATGATGGACAGGTTCCCCAGCAGCACGATGGCATAGGAGAGGAGAAGCAGGATGGCCAAAGCCAGGCTAAGGACCCGGGGCTGTGAGAGGCCCAGCAAGACAATCTCATGCACTGCGCCTGTGTTGCCAGGTCTCAGCGGGTCATTGGACCTGCACAAAGAGAAGAGCAAAATGCCGTGGCTATTGGGTGTTGGCTGGTCTTCCTGTTGGCCCAGTCTGGCAGGACAGACAGCTCCCCAGGCCTTTGCTAGAGAACCAACTGGACAGCCTTTAGTAAAATCCCCAGACACCTCAGGGGTGCGACAGAGTGACAACCTAGAGACAAAGAGAACTAGACACTGGCAGACAGTCAGAGCTTAGACAGAGAGATAGTGCTTAGAGAGATAGAGGATAGATAAAGGAATTAATTGATGGGTAGAGAGATCTTTCATGCATCTATCCATCTGCATCCTTCCATCATTCCATCCATCCACACATCTACCCAGTTATCCATCCATTCATCCATCTACATATATCCATTCATTCATCCATCTATATCTATCCATCCATCCATCTGTTCATCCATCTGCAACCATCCATTCATTCATCCACTATTCTCCTTACTTACTGCATTTAAACTTCACCCTCACCCTTTTAATCCAAATATATACACACACAGCTATGTTTAGTATCTTACAGCGTGGAATTTGCTGAATCCATGGTGCTGAGATGGCAATTTCTTTCCACTGCAAAACTCTGCAATACAGATAAAGATTTTGCTTTTCGGGTATGAATGCTTTCGTAATTAAAGCATTTACTATCCTACATTAATTAATACTAAGGCTTAATCAACCCTGCAGTTTCAGAAGAGCAAATAGCCACCAACACTGACAGATAGATCGATAGATAGATGAACAGCTCCTTAATGCTATCATTGCAGTTATCAATGATGAACAGCTATCAATGATGTGTAGTGGGAAAAAAAGCCCTGCGTAATTACTGAAGATTCCAATTGGAGTAACATAAGCTGAGGGGTGGAGGTGTCTCCTGCTGTCACTACTAAAGCATCCTTGAAATTTCTAAATATTACAGATAGCAATTTTCTAACTTAAAAGGTGTTGCATCTAACGCAGGGAAATTCTGTATTAAACCTCACCTTGACAAATAAGTAAGAACTGATCACGGAATTAAAAATTAATGGTAGCTTAGGCACAAGTGATTATGGCTTGATCACATTTACAATGTGCAAACAGAATAAAGTCCAGACCAGTGATCTATATCTATATCTATATCTATATCTATAT